AAAATTATATTAGAAAAGTATATAGATATAACTAACATCTTAATTCCCTTTATAAAACTTTAATATTTGTAATACAGAGGTCTGCTGCTAAATTACCAAGGGGGAAAAAACAAAAAAAATTAATAATAAAAAACAACGTATTATTCATTATTTACTTATGAAAACATTTTTTTATATTTTATATCGAATTTTGAAAACATTACGCGCACAATCATATTTCTATAAAGAGTGGAAAATGGATAGTTGAAAACTTACATATTGAAATATAAAAATTTCTCTTAAAGTATAGACATAAAAGAAATAAAACGTATGATTGTCTAAGTTTACTATAAAATCTATAATTATAATTTTAAAAAAATAAATAAATTAAAAAATATATAAAAAGTTAGAAAAATCATTGCGTCCGTTGTTTTAACATTAGTTTGAGATATTTTATAGAGTAGTTAAATAAAATATAATTATTTATAAGGAGAGTTGGGAAGGAAATTATGAGATTTTGGATAAAGTTGCTTCAATTTAAGACATACACTTAAAATTTCATCGTAATCAAATAAGGCAGTATCTTCTCAGACCTCACATGTGTAGAGTTATTTTTATTTGCATTATATGTTGCTCATTTACACAAAAAAAATTATATTAATTAATTTTTTTTCTCCGAAATTTTCATCAGTTTTAGTACAGACTTATAATCGACTGTAATTAATTCTCAAATTTTGCGAATAAATTCATAGAAAAATATAAAAAACGAACTATTCAAATGATTAAAGGTAATTCCACTTAAAAAGTTAAAATGGAATTCCCGGTTCTAATTCTAAGTCTAATTGAAAAATTTCTTAATTAATGGTAAATAAGTTATAATATGAGGGAATTTAAGATTTTTTATCATCTGAGATCATGTAATTTTTCAATGTAGGTGTTATGCAGTTTATATTATTTTTAATAAATGTAAAAAAATACCGTTGTGCCTGGGCCCGTGTAAGTAAGGCGTGTATTAATTATATTATTAACTTTATACTTTATTTAAATTTTCTTTAGTCTTTCCTACTAAGTTTCTTTCTTTATCCATTGACGGTCTATCAGATATCATCAATATCAAGATGTAACGCTACGCACCATATTAGTATTAGTAAAATTAAACTATAATTTATAAAAAAAATAAAATTGAGCATTAATTATTTCAACTGACATCAATATTCTTATTATTCGAGGTTTGGCACGGTTACGATTATTTCGGATTATCTTTCTTAAGTTTCTTGTGGACCTAATAAATAGGCCTATACATCATTTAAATCATTCATTATTCATTTTACTCCTAAGTTATAAGTATAAGCATATGACCAGGGATTTTTTTTTTCAAATTTGAACTGATCGATAATATTATGTTCTGCTCAATTTAATTTTAATGACATCGTTATTAAAATTTAAAAAAAATAATGCTAGATAACAGATAAGCCATAGTTTAGGTAATGATGATAGTATAGATGGCATGAGACGTCTAGTCGGCTAGGCATATTCAGTTAAAGTTACATTTTCTTTTTCGTAGGCCGTAGGCCAAATGAGGAGTTAGTTTTTATTTTATATTTGAAATGCATTAAAATGTTTTTTAAAAATTCTTTGAGAGACTGAACAATTTTAAAAAAAAAAATTAAATTATTATTATTTTTATTTTTTTTGTAACAACTGAAATGTTATGATGGTAAATAAATAATTAAGATTTCCATTAAAGAAAATTATTTTACTTTAAAAAAAAATAAAATCATATCGTCCCCGGAGTCCATAAAATTTGTGAATTAATGTGTTATTTTTACGAGAATTTTGTTTGTAAATAGTTGTAATGGCTATAATCACTATATTTAAAATTGTGTGTTCATGAACATTTTTAAGATAGTCAGAATGGCCAGCAAGGTGCAACAAGCGCAGAGATTTATCAACTTTATCAATCAACAACTCAAGAAACTCAAGAGAGAACGAGAGACCGTAATAGAGACTGTAGATGATGCTATCAGTCAGGTGGTAGTTTTAAAAATATAATATTTTAATAACAAAATAAATACACAGTTAAATATTAAATATGTTTATTGCATACAATCAGAGGTGTAACAAAGACACGGGGTACCTACAGCAGTAGCTAAATGGAGCACCCCTGTAAACTTGAGAAACCGAATCTATATAAGGGATTTATAACATCTATACATACACAATTAATTCAAAGGTAATATATATACTTAAAGATTTTTTTAAAATTTGAGACATATTTCATTCATATACATAAACACTGTACAATGTCAATATAAAACCTACACTAGCAATACAAATTTGAAATTTCTTTCATTCACTGATGAGAACTGGTCTTTTTCTTCACACAACATTGCGATTATGTAGATTTCTTACTGGCAAACTATTGTCTATTTCCAAACCACACCATAATGCAATTTAGTAGACCAAAAATGTAGATTATAAAAATAAGAGACCAGCATTTTAGAATATTCAATACAGGTAGACTAGCTTTTGGGCAAAAACAAATTATTTTTAAAACATATACAAATAATTTTTATGCTTCGATAATTTTCCAATTACTCTTAAATTAGTACGCTTTGAGTATAGCCACAACCACTGTTCACATCTAGATATTTTTATTTAAACAATCAACATATTTAGCCTACACAACAGAATCAATTACTGTATCATAAATTGCATTTGATTTGAAATTCCTGTCTAGATTCATAGTGTTGAGCTGCATGTTATTTTTTAAATGTGAAGCTTAGATAAAACAAAATATAAAATGCAAATTCAATTGTTACCATGCAGAATATCTAATCTTGTAGGTACAAAATGAAGTAGATGCCTGGATTAATGGAGGTCTTGTGAATCAAACAACGTGTGTGGAAATTAACAACAGAATTCAGCATGTTATAACTTTGTTTATGACAAAAACTATGGAACTGTCAGGTAATTTAAATAACAATGATATTTTGGTATATATATTTGTTAAAAATTTTACTTTTTAATTTATCACTCAAAATCTATGCATACATGTTTTCAATTGGCTCTATTTAAATGGTACGGTACTTTATATTATATTAAAAAACATAATTACCCGGTAATGTATTTCTTATAATTTCTTGAAAAAGTAATATTTTTTATCACATGTAACATTTATTTCTGAAAAACAAAATTCTCAATCATTTAAACGTATTATTTAATTTGACTTCAGATGTAGAGATTAAAGAAAGTGAAAGTGTTCTATCATCCGCAACTAGAAATAATTCGAAAATTCCTAAAACCAGTTACCCAAGAGAGGAACTACAGGAGACAGCAATTCTTAGTATAGAAAAAACAGTAAATGCATCTGGTAAATAATTTTGTGAGAAATCTTTCCTTTCTTAAAACTGTGTTTAGTGGTTTGTATTTATATATATGTTCAATTATTTTTTTTGGTAAGCAACAGATTGTTTCACTCTAATCTTTGTCACACAAATTATAACGCCATGAGGTGATTAAAAAAAGATTATTGGTGTTATGTAAGAACTTATTTGATGTACCGATAACCATGTTGTTCAAAATCAAGATAAGAATGAGTTCGTTAATGAGAGTTACCATTAACCTCTATAATTTTAAATTTGAATCTGATTTAATACATTTAAAATTATATTCAAATACAGGTGTAGATACTTCTTCTATTACCACAATGAAATTTGACATACTAGAGGAAGCTGTATACTCACTTAAAAAGTCAACAGAACAAATGCAAGAAAAACAAGAAGTTCTCAACAAAAAACTGGAAAGATTAACAAATGCAAAATTCAAATCTGAGAAAAAAATTAAAAAAAGAATTACAGTACTTGAGAAAACGAACCAAGAGATGTCTTCAAATGTTGAAACTGTAAGAAATATTGAGGTCAAGTTAAACAAAATAGAAGAAGAAAATAAGTCTGTCAAGGTCACAATAAATGAGCTCAATGAACAGATTAGCTCTGTTAGAACTTGTAGCAATGACGCCCTTATGTCTCTACAAGATTTGTCAAAGAGCGTTGAGAGTACAAATCAACATTATAATGAAATGTCTAATAAGATGAATCAACTGGAAATCTCCATTAATCTCATGTCATCCCAGTACACTGAGAAGTTTGAAAATGAGGATAAAGGTGATGATTTGGTAAGAGTTATTTTTACCCCAAAGTTTCTTTTATAACAGCATTCCTAGTAACAAAAATAATTTTCTATATGGTTTAGCATTTATAGCTAAATAATTTTTGAACATACTGTAGAAAAACTTAAAATACAAATTGAAGAAAAAAAAATATTTCTAATAAACCAGACTAGGGGTACTTCATTATAAGATGTGTGTCATGCTGAAAAGTATTTGAAAAAAGTAAAAAAGTAAAGGCACAATTTTAGTTTAAACCCCTGTCTTGCTTACATGAGTATAAATTATACTATAATGTTATCTTCAAATTGTGAAGTTTTAAACACTAAAAATTAAAGAACCTTGAAATTTATTGACCTGTTTACATTTTTTAGAAAGGTTATGTTGGCTAAATTTCATAAAAAAGAGACTTTAGCCTTGGCTGAGATATGAAATCAATATTTTATATTTTCAAATTGAGAGTAGCCTACATGTAATATTGTATATTTTGTAATAAAATTCTTAGTGTGGGTTTACTTTCTTTATGGTATTGAGTATCGACACGTTGTAGTAATTTCTTGTGCTCATAGCTTTGTTAGAGTTGTAAAATTATGCAGACTGACTAGGGTTAAATACATTATTTAACTTTTTTTAAATACAATTTTCTTCCGAAGTTTCATTCTGCAACATTATGTTAAATATTTTAATTAAATTTGAATACAAATTCCTGTTCATTAAAGATATGATATTTTAATTATTTTTCAAGTGAAAGGGAGTCTTTTAACTCAAAGCATTTATTTATTTTGGATAAAATTTGCCTTTTGAATAGATTGGAATGGTTTGTCAACTGCTATCTAAAGGACTCACTCCTTTAGAAACATTAAATGAGACTTTAAACAAGAAGGTCATCTTGAGCAAAGAACATATTTCAAAGGTATGCATGTACTTGTAACTACATTTTCTAACCTGTATCATAGCTTATTATTTAAATGATATACTTTATATTAAAGCTGTTTTTAATTGACAATATCTCCTTTGTTACAGTTGTAGGTATTAAAATACACATCATTCTATGTACAATAATACGAAAAAAAATACTAAAAATATTTTATAATTAGTGTCACGAATATATACTAAGTCAAATAAACTCTGAAACAGGTCGCATGTTCAGAATATGCAGTTACGCAACATTTACGAACGCTATTGCATTCTAAGACAGTAAGTGTAAGCAAAAGATGTACCTTTCAGTGTAACAACCTTATATTTTAAGAGTGTATGCAATATCATCTCTTTTGAATTTCATTTAACAATTATCCACACATTTAGAAATAAACTTTATAGAGTATTATGATTTGTGATCAGCTAGTATGTAAATATTTTTAAAAAAATATTTTAATTTCTCACGGTGACCATATGTAAAGGTATACAAATATATTACAATTGCACACAATATATTTTAATACATTCCAATGGACAAAAGAAAAGTAAATGTATATTTGAGATAGCAGCATATTCTGATGTGCTGTACTTTGTATCAAATTCTGTTGTGATAATTAGCTATTTTATGACTATAGTTGTGATTTGAATTTCAAATTAGGGGATAAATTGTTTATTACATTGGGTGTAACAAGAAAAATGTCCAAATCATGGAGCTAGAAAGTATCTATTAATTAAAGAAGTCTCCAAAGGTGCTTGTAGGATTTTTGTCTTGATTTGTTTAAAGATTGTTTGTTTGAAAAGTATTTTAAGAAAATTAATAGTCAATATTTAAATGACTCACTTAAAGTGTGTTGAGTTGCTATAGTTTAATTAGTAATAGCCTTGATGCTAGACAGCAAAAATGTATCAAACTTGTTTACCTAATGCTAGTCAATCAAACAATTTCATTAAGAATGAACATTAGTCATGTCAAGAATGTTTCAGTATGACTTTGCTCATTGAGTTTTAATTTTAGAAAATTATAATATAATATTCTCTAATAAAAAACAAGATCTTTGCAATCTTGATTATTTTATGTATTTCAGAACTGTTCTTGTCTTATATCTTTTGATAACTGATGTGTCAAATTAACAATTTTATCAATTCAATAATTTGGCATAATTGATATATTAGATTAGAATAAATTAGATCTAACTTTGAGAAAGTAATAGGAAAATATACAATAAAATATTTCCAAATGGAAAAACAGGGTCTTTATTTGATACTATCTTCTGCAGGTAGAAGCTATTGATACTAAATTGGCGGAACTATCCGGTAGAGTTATACAAATTGGTAAGTTAACTATAATAAATATCAGTAAAAATGAAGTAACCATAATTTTATGTAATAATAAATCTATTTAGACAATCATGTTGCTTCTATTTTTTTTAAAATTATATTATTCAGTCATTAAAACAGTCTGTATTTTTTATAACCACATAGTTTTTCTTAATTTGCAAATTTCTTCCTGAAATACCAGTGTTTTGTTGAATTGACATTGTGTGTATATATATATATACACTCTCTCTCTCTATATATATATAAAAATATATATAATATATATATATATAAACCAGATAAACAATTCACAAATTACTTTCTTCCCAGTGATGTACACACAAAGCTTCCACTGCGCATCTCACTATAGTTAATTTACTGATTTGGATTTCGTTTCTGAAATGTTGTCATTCTTATTTGACTTTCAGAAAGTAAATTCAGCACACCAACGCTATTATTCAACGCCTTTAAAGCAGCACCCTTTAGAGGTGGACGTTTTAACATAGGCCATTTCAATGATGTTCCAACTAACTATGGAAGTCACCTTGATCCTTTTTCAGGAAAATTCACTGCACCCCAAAATGGATTTTATTTAATAAGCATTGAAATAAAAGCAACAAAAAATGGATCATACAATGTCAAATGTTTTCGTACTTCAAAAAATCCGCCATTTGGTTACAGACATCAACTCTGCAGTGTATATGAGGATGAATGTGTGACATTTTTAGTTGAATTTAAAGAAGGAGATAAGTTGTGGCTGGAAATTGAAACAATGATGGAACAATTCTGGTTTTCTATTAGGCTTCAGTTTTCATGTCATCTAATCAAATAATGAGGACATTAAAATGTCAGTGTTTGCTGATGTATTATCAAATTAAAAAGAATTACCACTTTATCAAAATACATCAACATCTACATTTATGAAAGATATAAAAAATAAAAATTGTTAAATGTGTACATTTTGTTGTCATCTATTCTAATCATTCATACAAATTAAAATTTTCTAAATAAAACCTTTCTCATTCCATTCTTTTTCTCTGTACAGTTTTGCATGCTGTTGTACAGTTATTTATAAGATTTATTTTTAAAAATTTTTGATCCTACAACTTTAAATAAATGAGGCAACACTGTTACTGGTGTGTATTAATTTACGGATACTTTCACAAAGACACATTGGTCATTGGTAAACTATTTTAAAATCCAACGATCTTGCGAGGACAGAAGTCGATCTTGCGAGGACAGAAGTCGCTGAGAAATAAAATCTTAGAAAATTCCTTTGCCTGCGAATGTCTCAGGCTAATATAAGTTGAAGCCGGTTTAGGACTGAATAAACAAAAGCAAGTATTTTCATCAGATGCAGAAGAGTACTTTTGTGTCTTGAGGAAACAACGTTTGATTATCATCCTAAAATCAATGTCGTCGATTGCATTGAAATGATAAAGAGGCATTTTAAAGGTGAAATTTTTCCTCCAAATTTTACCTGACTGTTAGGGGCTATTTTGTTGAGTCGAGACATTGCTATTTAAATTGTGTTTGTGTGTATATATATATATATATATATATAATTTATATACCGGTATATATATATATATATATATATATATATATATATATATATATATATATATATATACCGGTATATAAATTATATGTATATGTATATATATACCGGTACATATATATGTATTATATTATATTAAAATTCCAACTTAATTGCAACAAATAGTAGATTTGTTAAATTTAACGTTTATTTTTATTCTATTCATTGAATTTTCCCAATTGAGTAGACATTTTAATTATATACCAGGCTGAAAAAACCCAGACGGTAAATTTGGCAAATGAAACATTAAGTTTGTGGGGCAAAAATGTGATTAGAATTAGAATTTTGGGATACTGCTACAGAAATTGAGAAACCCGTCTTATTATGGAGCACAGCTGAAAAAAGTAATGTTACTCATTGAAAAGTATTTAGAGGCTAGTATAGAACATCAGGGCTGGATTAACCATTAGGCAAACAAGGCACATGCCTCGGGCACCAAACATTTGGGGGGGGGGGCCACCACAATTCCTCAAGAAAGATGTGTATATTGTCTTGGTAGCGTAATTACATGGCATAAGCAAATCGCCAATGTAATATTGAATCCCACATTATTTAACCTTGGTCCCACAACCCGGGGGTAAAATACACACACCCCCCCCCCCCCAGGTTTTTTTGCTATTTTTTGTTATTTTCCTTCAAGGTTTCTTTGTGCTATTTTTTTTTTTTTTTACTTTTCTGGGATATGTTTGTGTTACGTAACGCACTAATGCGTAGCGACTAATTCATTTCAGTTTTGCTCTGCTAGTGAAAACAGCTGTGACTAGGGTCAGTCACGCTCTACAAAATGAGCACGTGAACTTGAAAACGTGTGCTGATTTGCATTCTTCACTAGCAGATCACTTGCATGAACTTAGAAATGAATTTGAAAGATTTGAAGAAGCTGCAAAAGAAATAGCACCAGGTGTGGATTACAAGTCAACTTTGACCCGTAATCGTAAACGAAAGACAGTGGTCATTGATGGGTGATGCCCCCTGTGGTATCTCAGAATGCCAGAGACAAATTTCGTCTATCTGCTTTCTACACCATTGTTGACAAACTTGAGACAGAGATGAGTAGACGAGGACAGGTATATAATGATCTAGCAGTTTGATTTTCTTGGTTGGTCGATGTACCACAAACATCTCAGTGTTGTGAAGGACTAATAAATGCTTATCCCGGAGATCTGAACAATAATTTACATACTGAACTACAACAGTTCCACTCATTTTTTCGCCACAAGTTTCATGGATCAAAATCTGAGAACAACACGTTCAGTCATCATGATGCAGACAGGGTTTCTTTCAGCTATAGCTCAGCAATGCCCCCCCCCCACCCCCCGGGAAAGCNGAAAAACCTAAAGTGCCCCCCCATCCCCCCTCGCCAAATCTGAAGTGCCCCCCCCCCCAATCTGAAGTGCCCACCCCTGGGGAAAATTTCTGAAAGAAACACTGCGTGCAGATCTCTACAAAGTAATAGTTGGAGACAACATCGAGTGGGATTTTTCCAAATGAAGAAATCCCCTTGCGGATATTTTTTAACATTATGATCAATGGTTACGAACTGTTCCACTGAGCGCTCTTCTTTCTCTCAGTTTGAAACAATCTAAGAAGTAGATCGACAATGAAACAAGAAAGGTTTGATTCCTTATCTTTGCTGATAATTGAGGCAGATTTGTTGTGCAAAATTAACTTTGATGATGTACCGGTACTCAAAAACTTTGCCAGACGTAAATCTAGAAAAAAAGAACTTTAAAATGTAAATGTGTGCACTTTCTGGCTTTCTTATCTATCAAAAAGTTACACTATTTGTATACTATTATTACCGGTACAAAATTAATTAACTATTAATTTTAATACAGAAATACCTTATTGTAGGTTTTATATGAGTGATAGTAATACAAACATATGTGTTTACATTTCACAACTGTTTTTCTTTGTTAGTTTTTTGCAGAGTTGAACATACCAGCCAGCAGTCAGTGGAGGATCTGGGGCCCGGGGCAGTAGGGGGCACCCATGTGGGTTTGTGCCTAGGGCACCAAGATGGCTTAATTCGGCCCTGTAGAACATATATTATGTCATTTTTAATGCCGTAAGAAAGAACAGACATAGGAATTCTGCTTTACTTGTTAAAGTTATATTGGCTTCAAGCCCCATCATAATGGGCGCCTATGATGTTTTCATCATCCTCTAAACCATTCAGTGCCATGCCAGCTAATAGACAAGTCATTATTAAAGCAGTTAATAGTTTTTTTCATTTTCGGAATGGAGTTCGGAAAAACCCTTTAAAAACTTTGTTCAATTTGATTAATTATTAATCTGTGTGTGTGTGTGTGTGTTTACTGGTATATATATATTAATAACAAGCAGCTCAGCAGTCAAGACAGGCCGCAATGTGTGAATTTGCCATCTACCAAAGTTAGTTGAACAAACAACTTGAAACAAGCATGCGACTAATCCATTTTATGAGATTCCCAATTGATGATAGTTCTTCCCCCTTTTTTTCCTAGGTACGCCATAAATCCTGAACTATGTTCATATTATAATGTCAACACCCATCGCACATGTATGAATTCCAATTTTTGCTAGCCCCCCCCCCCATGATACATCACTGCACACTTTTGTTTTTCACGCCCATGGACTAATATTAAATATTCTGATGTCCCAAACACTTTTAAACTGAATATTTTTTTTTACACCATACCGGTACTTAAATTGAGACGATTTCGTTTATCGAAAAATATTACGAACCAAACGAAGTTGCGTTATTAAAAGAAAATCTAAAGGATTTAGCGTAGTTATCCGGAAATATATTTTGCGCGCTAGTGAAATCATTATCTACATAGGCCTATAGCCTGCGTGGTGTTTGACCTTTGCTTGCGAATTATATAGATCGATGTTTAGTATTTGAAACGACTTAGTGAAGCATGCGTGCGCAGAGTTGATGTTTAATTTGTCAGAGACCTGGATGGTATACAACAAAGATTATTTAATATTTTTTGATACAGTGCTAAGAATACATTTAATTTTAATGAGGAACGAAAAACAAGTTTATTTTCTTGTGGTTCATTAAGCTTTAATTTCGATAACATTTGTATAGAAGTTCTCCAATTAAAAGTATAACAAAAAATTAATCTTGATTATTTTATCCATGCTTTTTACTTTTTTGGTACCAGAATTAAATAATGTTGCATCATTCATGTATTTGATTAAAATAAATTAAATATAAAATTGAGAAAGTAATAAGGAAACATACAACACAATGTTTCAGCTGAGATTTCTACGGTAGTATTAAATGTAAAAGCAGTTGTTTTTTTTAAAGTTGCCTCTATTTTTAGTTTGAAGGTAGAAGCTCTTGGTACAGAATTCGAGGAAATATCCGGTAAAATAACACACCCACACACTCACACACACACACACACGCACGCATACACACACACACACACATTGGTAAGTTCATTTGATAAATATCAGTTAAAAGGGTAATAACAATACTTTAAACCTAAATATCAATCTATTACAAAGGACGAATGTTTAGTTTTTATTTATATATCTCAAGCAAATATTTAAATAGTCAATAATTTAGATAACGTCTTTTTTTATTCTCAATTCAACAATTTCTTCAAGCGTAATCACAACGCGTTGTTGAATTGAGATTTTATCTACCCGTATATGATGACGTCGTATATAGACCATTGATTTATTCAAATTCAGAGAATGTATACACAAAGCTGTAAATAGGAGCTCATAACATAATTTGATATCTAGATTTACTGATTAAGAATAAAGTGATTTTTTTTTTTTTGGAAACATCTGAATTTGTAAGTTTAATTTAATTTAAAATCTGTGGTGAACAATAAAAAAAAATAAAAAAATCCTAATTTATTCTCTGCACAGTGTAAAACGCCTTCAAAGAAAAGGCATTAGTAGCGATACAAGCAATGACAACGTATTGCCATTTAATTAGATCGCAAAGGTAAACTAAGAAAAAATACGTTAAACTACAACAATAACAGAAGAAACATGAAAGAAATAGCGAAAATGTATTGAGATTGTCTGGAAAGACTTGCCAACATTTCTGGACAGATACCACAGCTTTGTTGACT